CTTTTTAGGCCACTGGTATCCCCATATCCACTCTTGAGCCTTCAAGTCCATTCTTTTCTCACTGATCAGAGTTACCTTTAAAAGGCAAAGCTGCTCGAACTACATGGGACCATACTGTGTGGGAACTCTCTGTATTAGGTTCACAATTTTTCTGCAAATTTGAAAGTACTCTAAAATAAAAAAGTTCATTTAAAAGAAATGTTTAAGCCCTGGCTGGTGTGGCTCAGTGGACTGAGTGCTGGCTTGCAAACCAAAGGGTCGCCAGTTCAATTTCCAGTCAGGTCACAAGCCTGGGTTGTGGGCCAGGTCCCCAGTTGGGGGTACGTGAGAGGCAACCACACATTGATGTTTCTTTCCCTCTCTTTCTCCCTCCCTTCCCCTCTGTCTAAAAATATTTAAATAAAATCTTTTTAAAAAATTTTTAAGAAGGCAAAACAATGAATAAACCTGCTTAAAACTTTCACTATTGTGAGTGTGTACACACACGTGTGTTTATACTTAAAAGAAGGATCCAAAAACCTTCTCATGGCCTACGACACCTGTGTGATCCGGCCCCGTTTACCTTGTGTAACGCCCTCCTGTCGCCCTGCCCCGGTCTCACGAGCCCTCTCTGTCACACACTGCAGGCTCCTTGCTGACAAGGCTCAGGCTGCTGTCTTTGCTCTCCACCTGGCAAACTCAACCTTCAGGTTTCAGCTCAGTGTCACTTCCTCAAAATGACGTTCTCACATCATCCTGTGTTGTCTTTTGGGGCACTTGTCAACTGCAGTTACATTTGTATTTTTGTGGTTTTTTAAAAAAAAAAAAACCTGTCTATCCCAACGAACTAGGAGCTACAGGAGAGCTGTGTCTCTTGCTTCTGGTGCTTAGTGCAATAGCTGGCACATTTTAGGACTCACAAATTGTTGAATTAATGAGTAATTAAATGAGGAGAAAATAAGCTCTTGTGACATTTTTTTGCTCCTTATAGTTAGGAAGGGCTCACAAAGGATTACTGACTAATTCATAAGTTGAGAACAGAAAAGGAAAAGGAAGAACTTTGAAAAATATTTTAAACTTTCCACTGAATTCATTTGATGGCTAAATTTTACAAGTGTTAGTATAGAAATTTCAAATTACATTTTAATAAAGTAAAAAAAGTAATTTTAGCTTAATTTTTGAAATAGATATTTGATTTTTTTTATTTTACACAGTACTGCAACTTGCATTGCTGAAGAATTGTGAGTCAGAAGGCAAAAAGGGATTCAACCAAGACATTGTACTAGGATGAAATTTTCTCTTTCTCCCTCTCCATTTAAATGAAAAATGTTCCTACAATTCTATAATATTTTTAATCGTTGGAAGCCAGTATATTTACTTCCCATGATAGAGCTTAAATTGTCAGTGATTTCATCAGCAAAGAGACAAAAAGGCACCAAGTAATATATATGCTGGACCAAAACACCATTTCACTTAAAAATAATGTGCCTTATTTGACTGCTTAATGACATATGTAGCCTGACTTCCCCCAATAAAAAAAGAGCTCATTTTGCTTGTGTGATAGATGCATGAAGGCTCTTAGATATGTAGAATTTATGGGATATTTGAGTCCAGAAGAAGAGTGCAAAGAGAGGCCTTGCTAGCTCCCCAGTTGCAAATGCAGGAAAACCTGGAAAAACTCTCATTTCCCTCCTGCCACTTCCTTTTTACAACTAACCATTCCTGGTGGAACTTGAATAGTGATACATAGGAAAATCTGGAACTATACACATCAAACTGTTAACATGTTGCCATTAACAAGAAGAAATGAAGAAATAAATACATTTCTTTTGTTATTAAAAAAAGCCATTAGTGATTTAAAGAAACAGTTTACAGACACATTAACTTTTGATTTTCTCAACTCTTTGGCTTGTGCAACTTACTGCATTTGACTATATATCTATATATATTTAAATCTTCACCCAAGGGTATATTTATTGCCTTTAGAGAGAGAGGGAGGGAGAGAGAGAGACATTGATGAGAGAGAGAAACATTGATCGGTTGCTTCCTGTACGTGTCCCAACCAGGGATTGAACCTACAGCCTGGATATCTGCCCTCAGTAGGGATTGAACCGGCAAACTTTTGGTGCCTGGGATAACACTCCATCCAACTGAGCCACCTGGCCAAGTCTTGACATGATGTTTTTGACAAGATATTTTAGTTTACTGAAAAATATTTAAAAGTTATACGTATTAATATTAATTTTTACTTATTTTACTGGCTCCTGATCCCCTTTAGGTTAAGAAAATTGAAGCTCAGATTCTCCCTATTTAGCAAATCCTCTCGGGGTAAAAGCAGCCTTCATCATTCCATTTACTGCTTTGGGTTTTAGATGTCACTTAGTTTTTACTTGAGTGTTCTTCATTGATGCTTTTATGAAGTTTTGTGGTAGTTGTTTGTTTTCACAGTTTATCTAGCAAGTTTAGTTATTTTTAAGGAAGAATGTTGGTCTAAGTACCTAGTCAGCCATTCTGGAATTGAATCTCATAATTTTTGCACATAATATACACTTTGCATATGACATAATTTGTCAGAGTTGTGAAATGGTGTAATAGCTAATGGTTGCTTGTATGCCATTCACTAGATGAACCTTCCCTTCACCAAACAGTATCCTTAGAGTTTTAGTGTGTATTTTATTTGGTGAATTCTTTGCAAAATGCAAATAAACATTGATAGTTTTTCCCCTGTTAAAGTTATGATGGTGTGACTATGGTGTGGAACCTTGTCTGCCCACTAAGCTATGTAACAGATCAAATTTAAATTGACTTTTTGAATTCACTCTCTGCCTTTCTGCATATGAGACTCCCCTGATCACACTTTCAAACTAAAATGGGATGGTTTCACCTCTGTGCCCTTGGTAGGCCTCCTCATCTTCACAAGGCCCGCCTGACTTGCCCTCAGTGTGGCCTTATCCTTAACTGGCTCCGGTAAGAAAATAACAACAAAAAATGCATTCCAGGAACTGATCAAGGGGGTATAAACGAATCCTTGTTGCTTTTTATTATACTTAAATGGTTCTGAAGGAAACCAATTTTTATGGTTTGTCTAAAGAGCATTTAGCCTATCCATTTTACCGAAATAAAAGCTGAATCCCAAATGAAGTCAGAGAGCCAAATACCTGGATTGGATGAATCTTCCCATAGAATGATTCTACCAGACTGCTCTTTGGGGTGATACCATTGACTGATGAGCAGCGGCCCATGAAACAGCATCTCCATATTTCCGCAAGAAATGTTCAGGGTGTTCTTCATTTCATAAGCACTGGGCTGCTTCTCTGTGAATTCCAAAGGGTGAATGTCCCCATGAGAGTTCCAAGAGCAGTTTGGGTGTAGACACTATGAATTCAGGGCCCCATTGCATGCCCCTTTTTTCTTTGGCAACTGGGAAGCTTAGCATCTTGAGAGGTCACCCCCTGTCAAGCATATACAACTTTATGGAATATAATTTTGTTTATAAAATTTGCAGGTTTGAACTTACTCTCCTATCCTGACTTTTCCTTTAACATTTTTTCCATGTTAAATACATATTTTTAAAACCATTTTGAATATTTTTGGAACATAGTTGGTATACACAAAACCATTTGATAATTTCAGATATTGCAAATCAGTGTATAACAAAGTTTTAGAAATGAGATTACACAATTACGTATTTACTTTTGCTTATATAAACGTTATCAAGATCTAAAAATTAGATTGCAGTAAAATTCACTGTCTCTAGACCCAAAGGAACGAATGTGCAGAAACGGTGGAGACCACTATTATGATTTCTGAGGACTGCGGCTTGTTCCCTCATCTGTTTGGACAGGCAGATTTTCAAAAGTAAAAATCACTCTCCTTAAATATTTTGTAGCTTTCAGTAAGCTGATAAATGAGCTACTTATTCATTGTCTGTCTAGTACCACACAGTAGATTATCCATAGCAACAACCCTTTCAAACTTAATAAGACCAGCTCTGTATTTATTAGGAAAATAATACCACCAGGTTAAACAAACTGATTGTTGGTTTTGTGTATTTACTCTCTTTGAAAGAGATCGGCCAAACCTTCAGTGTGTTCCATATTGTACATCATTAGGGATACTGAATTGGAGTATGACTCTATGAATCTGACCATGCTATTTTAATGGTGTCTTTAGAATAAGAAAGATAATGAGTGAATAAAGCTTTACAAATGGAGTACTACTTTGTGTATTGAAAATAATGCCAAATTCTTCCCTGAACAGTAGAAATCAGATATATGATGGTAAACATCACAACTCCTTGTCTGTAGAGGATAAATAGAATACTTACTATTGGGCCAGGAAAATGCATTTTAGTTTTCTTGACTCTAGAAATTACACTGACATGGAATCTATGTGCCTAAGAAAGGCTGTGCCTCAAAAAAAAAAAAAAAGAAAAAGAAAAGAAAAGAAAAGAAAGAAAGAAAGAAGGAAAGAAAGAAAGAAAAAGATAGTTTCAGAATTAGAGATACTTTCAAAAGAGAACAGATACTTTTAAAGAATTTGAATTGCTGTTGTTGAAATGTAAATTAAACCTCAGATCTTTTCATGTCAGTCATTGAGAAATGAAGTAGTATTTAAAATCATGAAATATTAGAGTGCATGCATTTCAGTATCCTTATTTTACAGCAATGAATGCTTTTAGAAATTGCTATAAAAGCCTTGTGTCTCTCATCGCAAATGTCCTTGTGCCATATTAAAAAAAAATTAATTGAAAGTAAAGTTTCACCCTAGAAGATTACTAATGGAAATATAATAATTGTTTACAAGGGTAAATTGATTACCAATTCTGTTTTTATATGATAGAATGTAACATATTTTTCCTTATTAGATTTTTTTAATGTAGATCAGTAATGGGACTCTTGCATTTATGAATTGGTTGAGCCTATTTTGATTAAATTTTTGCTATGTTAAATATCTATTTTTTCTCAAGTAAATTTTTGTAGTTTTAGTTCTTCATTTACTTTTTTTGTTTATATTCACAGATTCTGGAACTTCTCTAAGCCTGACCCTCTTCTTGAAATAGTGGACCATCATACAGAGTTTACTTGTGGTTTAGATTTAAGTCTTCATAGCCCTACTCAGGTAATGGCTGCGATCTCCTGATCATTTTTCTTCCCATACAGTTCACAGAACCCCTGTGTGTGGCATGCATTGCTTTTATGAACAAAATTGTTGCCTTTAGAGAAGAGCAAGGTACGTTTACTCAATCTTCCTGATCTCTTTTGCTGTAAAACTTGAGCATTTGAAATACCAGGGAAGGAGAGTTATCCAGAAACTTGACATACCTCCCTCCTCTTGAAAGACTGACTTTTCTGAGAGGGAAAGGAATCTTTCCCCAAAATATTGTACCTTATATGTTGAAGGCTTTGAGTAGATCTCTCCCAATGGAAAGGGTGACAAGAGAAGAATGGAATGGGGAAGGACTGTCCCCAGACGTTGGTAGGAGCCAAGAGTGCGCGGTCCTTGAGCAAGCTGCCCCGCAGCCCTGAGATGATGGGCAGGTCACTTCCCTCTCGGGCCTGTCACCCTCATCTCCACGCCCCACGTTGAAAGAGAGGCTTCGGATGCAGAACGAAGTAAGAGAGAACGCCTGCTGTTTTCATTAATAAACTTTTCATTTCCCACTTTTTGTTCTCTTGAGGACTGGAGGGTTTACATATTTAGGGTTATTTTTAGAGTTGTTTCAGTTTTGGAAACTCAGGTCAGATAACAGAGTATATGAAAACACTAGCATATCAATGAAATAATATATGTGGAAATTCTGGAATGTGACTAAGAAATTATGCTTTCACAACAAATTTTAGAAGTTAGACAAAAAAACAAATCCCATTTCTCATTCCTGCGTTCTTAAATTTAAATGAATATACTTTTTTTAATTTTAGGATTGTAAGACATAATTCAGAGTTTAAAATATTCTCAATAGACATTAGAATAGTCTTATTAACATTAGAATAGTTGTTTTAAAATGACAATGGCAACTAAGAAGAGAAGAAACTAAAAGAGTGATGGATGAAATGGCATTATCTTTCATGTAAATGCAGTGAGCTTTAAATGAACTAGTTTCTTTTCCAAGAAATAAATCTATTATAGATGATTTTTAATAAAATATTCATATCCGTTTTTAATCCCAGTTAAAAAAAAAAGATGTACCTATTGAGACATGGCAATACCAGACAAAGAACCCTAAGTAAGTATTTTCCTCTCCTGTGTTTCTGTTAACCTCTTTTCTCTGAGTCCCAGACTGTGGCCTCAGGCAGCGCACGCACCTCCTTGGCTTCCTCAGTCATGGCCGCTCCTCACCCAGGTCTGAGAAGTGCCAAGCGTGTTCTAAATCCTCCACTCATAGACCACCTGTTAAAAGCAATTTTGCTTTTGGAGGATTTATTAATTAAATTTTATGCATCCTAAATAATAAGAGAATTTATTACAAGGTCATATATTTTGTGTGTATTCTGGTGACTGCCACCCATCTCTTCCAGTTCAACAAACAAATTCCATTTGTATTAAGGAAATAGATGCTGTTGAGAGCAAATATGAGAGAAGAAGCAGGGGTCTTCCAGCTCTAAATAAGCAGCAGGGTCAATGGCATAATGTACAGTCAGCTGGAAATCTCCACTGAATAATTCATAGTGGGACAGAGTCTTGGGAGAAAGAAGGACCTTAGAAACAAGACCCCTCCCTCTCATACATGCCGGTCTTTCCACAGATACTTTTCATATGCCAGACCTTGAGCTCGGTACTAGGAATCTAGTGGGGAATGAAAACAAACATGGAACCTGCCTTCATAAAGCACTTAGTCCACTGTTATATCAAAAACTCTCATGAATGAATGTAAGTGACAGCATGACAAGCTTATGAAGGAGAAGGACGTTGTTCCTCAAGCGTCCATAGTCAGGATAGATGTTTGACCTATTGAAGAAATTGGTGAGGAAGTGAGGATCCCTTGAGATCTGATGAGCAGGCATTAACTATATGAAGAGAGAGAGGGAAGACGGACCATAAACAGGCAAAAAGCAACAGTGTGTTACAGACCCTGTGATGGGATGGAGCATGGATAGTACTTGAAAATGAAAGAAATTAGTTCTTTCTTATTTATGGTATATTATTCAACATTAGAATTTAAGAAAATGTGTTTGTTGACTTGTCATATTTAAAAAAACAGAGTGTTGAGATTGACTAAATTTTTTGTTTATTTCAGTGTTAGTTTATATATATATAATTTTTTGCTATGTGTTCTAGGTCATACAAATGAAATATTGAAGAGTTTTTATTATTTGACGCACCTTTTACTATGAAAGTATTTTTAATCTTTTCAAAGTATTATTAAATAGTTACCATTTCTATTAATGCCCTTTTGACATTCATTGGTTCATTCTTTCATGCTGTCATATTTGTTGAACATCTACTACAGTTGTATGGGAAAAGAAATCACAGTGTAGTATGATAAATACTAAAATAGAGGGAAGCAAATGATGCATTGGGCAAATATACATTCACTGATTCATATATGATATGCATTATATATATATTTTTATATTATTTGTCAGATGCCTACCAAGCGCTAGGTATTGTTTTAAGTACTAAGAAAAAGCAGCCAGCAAAACAGACTATATCCCTGATCTCATGGAGCCTACATATTGTGGGAGAAATCAAATAATAAACAAGTAAGCAAAGAAGATGATTTCATATAGCAGTAAATACTATTCAGAATTGGAGCAATTTTATAGGAAGATGGCAGAAGGGGTACTTTTGCTTGAATGGTCTGGGAAAGGCTCTCTCAGGAAGCGAAATTTGAGCTGAAAAACCAAATAATGATATGGAATCAACCATCCAAAAATTTAAGGGAAGGAGATTTTCACAGAGGAAACAACAAATGTCAAGTTTTTGAAATGGTAATGGGTTTGGTATGATTAATTGACAGAAAGAAGGCCTGTGTGGCTGGAGCCAAATGAATGAGGGAAAGAGTGAGATGAATTATGTGGGGGTCAAATTGTGTAGGACCTTGTAGACCCTACTGTGTTGGATTTTCTTGTAATTGTATTACAAACCTATTACAGATTTAAAAGCAAAAGAATGAAAGAAATTGATTTTTATTGTGGTATAATTGACATATTTTTTTTCAGGTATACAAGATAATGATTCAGTATTTGTATATATTGTGAAATGATGACTGAAATAAGTCAAGTAACCATCTGTCACTACACATAGTTACAAAAAAAGGTTTTTTCCTGTGAGCACTTTTAAAATCTACTCTATTAGCAACTTTCAAATAAGGAATACAGTATTATTAATTATAGTCACCATGCAGTACAGTATATCCCCATGGCTTATTTTATTAACTAGAAGTTTCTACCTTTAGACCCCCTTTACCTACTTTGCCCACCCCCAACTCCTTGTGTCTGGGAACCACCAATTTGTTTTCTGTACTTATGAACCTTCTTTGGTATTTCATTTTGTTTTGTTTCAGATTCCACATGCAAGTGAGATCATATACTGCTTATCTTCCTTTCTCTGACTTATTTCACTTAGTATAATGCTCTCAAGGTCCATCTGTGTTGTCACAAATGGCAAGATTTTATTTTTTTTTGTTGCTGAATTTATATATATATATATATAATTTTTATTGATTATGCTATTACAGTTGTCCCAATTTTTCCCCCTTCGCCCCCCTCTGCCCAGTGCCCCATTCCCTCCAGCAGTCCCCACCTTAGTTCATATCTATGGGTCATGCATATAAGTTCTTTGGCTACTCCATTTCCTGTGCTGTTCTTAACATCCCTCTGTCTATTTTGTACCTACTAAATTGTATTTTTAATTCCCGAACCTTCTCCCTCCCAGCTATTAACTCTCCAAATGATCTTCGTATCTGTGATTCTGTTTCTGTTCTGCTTGTTTGCTTAGTTTGTTTTTTTAAATTCAGTTGATGATAGCTGTGAATTTGTTGCCATTTTAATGCTCATAGTTTTTATGTTATTTTTCTTATATAGTTCCCTTTAACATTTTATATAATAATGGCTTAATACTGATGAACTCCTTTAGTTTTACCTTGTCTGGGAAGCACTTTATCTGCCTTTCCATTCTAAATGATAGCTTTACTGGGAGAGTAATCTAGGTTTTAGGTCCTTGCTTTTCCTCACTTTGAATGTTTCTTGCCAGTCCCTTTTAGCCTGCGAAGTTTCTTATGGGAACTCCCTTGTAGGTAACTATCTGCTTTTTTCTTGCTGCTTTTAAGATTCTCTGTTGATCTTTAACATTTAATTTTAATTATGGTGTGTTTTGGTGTCCCAACTTGTTTGGGACTCTCTGCGCTTCCTGGACTTGTATGTCTATTTCTTTTGCCAAATTAGGGAAGTTTTCTTTCCTTAGTTTTTCAGATAAGTTTCACTTTCTTGCTCTTCCTCGTCTCCTTCTGGCACCCATATGATTTGGATGTTGGTATATTTGGAGATGTCACAGAAGTTCTTTAGTCTGTCCTCATTTTTTAAAATTCATTTTTCTTCTTGCTGTTCTGATTGAATGCTTTTATTCTTCCTTATGTTCCAAATTATTGATTTAGTTCCCTGCTTCATGTCCTCCACTATTGGTTCCGTGTAGATTTTTCTTTATTTCACTTAATGTAATCTTCACTTCTGTCTCATCTTTTTTATGCTGTTGCATAACCAGTGAGTTCTTTGAGCATCCTAATAACCAGTGTTTTGAACTCTGCATCTGATAGATTGCTTATCATCATTTTATTTAGTTCTTTTTCTGAGTTTTGTTCTTTCATTTGGGCCATATTTCTTTATCTTCTCAATTTGGCAGCCTACCTGTGTTTGTTTCTGTGTATTAGGTAGAGCTGCTTTGACTCCCTGACTTAATAGTATGGCCTATTGTAAAATAGCACACCAGTTAGTTGTATGGGGCAGAGCCTTAAATAATCACCAGGGCAGAGCACCCCATGTCCCTGCTCTGTGGCTCTGTATGGAGGAGGGCTTGGAGAGAGGACAGTGCTGCTGCCTGGCCTCTGGAGATTTACCCAGAAGAAGCTGTCTCCGGGCACTTGCCCTTGTTGCCAGGCACTTCACTTTCTCCTCATATGCCAC